CCCCCCCCCCCCCTCCCTCTCATCACAAACCGTCACAAAATTACGGACCCCCCTCTCCCCTACTAGTGTGACGTCCTTTATCATCATCATCATTCTTTTGTGGCCCCTAGGGAGCAAAGGTCTGCAACCACACATCTCCATCGGAATTGGGTGTATCTGTGGCCATGTGTGCCCAGCTGTTTTTGACTCTTCTTCAACCGTTCTTTTCCATGTCTTCCTTGGCCGGCCCACCCTCCTTTGTCCCTGGGGATTCCAGCCTAGTGCATGCTTTGCGATGTTTTCTTTTTTCTTTTCTTAATGTGTGTCCGATCCATCCCCATTTACGGGCCTTGATATCTGTCTCTATTGGCTGTTGCTTTAAAGTTCGCCACAGGTCTTTATTTGATATTTTGTCTAGCCATCTTATTTTAAGTATGTGTCGTAAGCATTTGTTTACGAATGCCTGTAGCTTATCAGTATTTGTCGTCGTGACTCTCCATGTCTCCGAGCCATAGAGCAGCACTGCCTTGATATTTGTGTTGAAAATCCCAATTTTGCTCCGGAATTACAGGGCAGTGGACCTCCACATCGGGCGCAGCGAGTTGAAGGCACGTCTAGCCTTGTTGATACTGTGGCGTAGCTAGGATTTTCGCGCCCTTATGCAAAAAATTATCAGTGGGCCCCCTTCGTCAGCCTTTAGGCTACAATGGAGTTAAACGAAAAAATCAACTGCTACTTATGATGGGGAATTTTAAAAAATTATATAAATATTCTGTGCATTTTATATTTTATACATCCGGATTGTGTATTTATATTATATTAGTATGCAGTTTTGTAAAAAAATATTAAAGGCTTAAATAAGTTAATTTGTTTTTTTTTAAGTAAACAAACACAGTAGCGTCACAAGTCGGGGGCAGAGGTGCGGTCTACATCGCATGAAAACATTAATCGTGGCACCATCACAAGACATTGTAAATTTCCTGTCAAAACTATGTTGTATCCAGCTAAAGTAATAAAAGATTAGTGAGAGAGGGTTAACACCCCTCCGGAAATGCAAAATTGCAAAAATTATTAAACACGTAGGGTAATATCCGACCTTGTGACGCTACTAACCAAATAAATTTATTTTCAAAAATTGCTCATAATTTAATTAGATCTGTTTTTTTTTATGGTTTTAATTTTGTAAAATGATTAATAAGTTCATTGAGAGCTACTTTAGCTGCGTCTATGTGTACGATTCTGAGAATGGCTGAGCTACTGACCCAATGGCCATACAATTATCTAAAATTTATTTCATAACAAATAATATCATCATAATATCATCATAATGAGCAATTAATGAGAACCATCATAGACACCAATTTCCCCTTCCCGATCACCGTGGAAAGTTAAAGAATGTTTATACTAACTAGCGTGCCCGTTCCACATATCAGGGTAACAAAACAATTTGTAACGGTTTTATCGACGCGTTACCAATTGTGTATTTTTAGTCGTGTGACATTGTTTTCTAAAACTGATATAGGTTTAGTTAAAATGTAAACAACGTCACTGCTATTTTTTTCGGAACTTTGTTGCGGGGGCGCGGGTTGGTTCACACTACCGCTCAGACGCCCCTGGGCGTGCTGTATGAAAGCATTGAGTGTACGTTAATCATCTTCCGTAATAATGAGGTTGAATACCTTTCGGCGACCTAGGTGTCAGGGGTGTCGTGGGAGTGACTGGTTACACCACCGCATGTAGCCAGATGCAACCTCTGTCCCATGTGGAATACTTGTGTGATTGGTGTCATTGAACGCCGAGGGCGTCGAAAGCCTCCCCTGTTGCAGTTTGACTGTTGGAACAAGTAGTACCACTGACTCTGCAGGACGTCCAATTAACGGATTTCGTGCACTCAGGAAGCCGCAGGGTAACACGGGGGCCCAACCGTTTCTATTGCTGATGCGCTAGAAGACACCTCTTATTCGATTTAGTAATAGATTTTAGTATCCCGACATATCCCTAGTGTATGGCGATCATTAAAACGAATATAGGCGGCCGACGGGGTGCCGGCTGATGCGCCCGTACAATTTGACCGCTGAATCGAGTAGTAACGCTGACCCGATGCGCCGGACACCCAATCAACGAATTCCACTACTTGTAAAGTAAGAAAGGACTTGGGGCCTTTTTGTAACTTTTGACGGAATTTTCATTTTATGTTTAAAATTATTTATATAAATGAAATATTAAAATTCCAACGTAAAAAGTTTTAATTTTTTTTAAGAGGGGAAAAGGGCCCTTAAATGCCTTGGGCCCCTATGCCTTGCTTGCGCTAGCTTTACGGTAGCTACGCCACTGATTAGAAGTGATTTCGAAACTGAAACCAAATTTAGAATTCCGAAGACTAAAAATAGAAATTCTAGTAGATGTTTTTAAGTGTACATATTATTTACAGGTCAGTAGGAAATAGTCACGGGTTACCTGATAAGGAACTACTTTTCTACGCATAACACGTAACAATCATGCCCAGCCCTACATGTATTTAAACGAACTATCAAACGGTAATTTAATTCAGTCAGTTTTTAGAAAATAACATTTTCTAAGGTTTATTAATCATCAGTGTACATTTTACCTCCGAATAGATTAAACTGGTAACATTTTTATGTTATTATTTTGGTAATTGATTGCAATGCTTTTAATTAAATCAACCTAGCTAGACAACAGGTAACAAAAGCACATTTAAAAAAAAAATATTTAGGGGTCAAACATAAGTTACACTTTTCTAGGTTTCTATAGTTTGAAATCATGTTTCAGGTAGAAGAGGTTTGTAGTATTTTAGTTAAACTTTGTTGCATCAAGTTTTGGTATAAAGTGTAGGTTAAGGATTAAGTTAATTCAAGTGACAACAGATGATTAGCATATAAACAGTGTGGAAAGTCTGTAAACAATGTAAAACACATCCACCTATCTCCCTAACCCTACAACTCAGCCAGCATCTTTATTTAGCTCAAGTAGCAGAGGCGCAGCGAGGGGGGGGGGGTGCGGACCGCACCGGGTGACACAATTTAGGGGGGTGACACCAAGGAAAAAAAATAGTAAAATATATTTAGAGAAAAGCTTAAGGGGGGGGGTGCAAATCGAAAGTTTGAGGGGGGTGAAAATCGAAAGTTTGAAAGTTTGTCCCCGGGAAGGGTTGCTACGCCTCTGGGGGGAGGGGGGTGACACCATTAAGTGCCGCACTGGGTGACACCCGACCTCGCTACGCCACTGTCAAGTAGGCTAATTTTTAATAGGAGAGGGAAAGTAAGTAACAAGAAGTTATCTGTTTTTGTGGCAACATCGACGAATAATAATAAAAAACAAAACATTCGAAATTTCTAACATGGAAAAATAAATAGGCTTAGCATCGACCATTTGCATTCAGTGTTTTCTTTTCATACATAGTACTGGTAAGACCAACGTTATTTCAGGAATTAATTTCAGAAACATCTACATCACTTATACTGTCCAAACAAGCAACTTTCTCATATGATCTATATTGTTTATTGTATTTATTTAACTAAGATACTGATCAAAAATTTTTCAAACTGTCTGTTTGATTCTCAATAAAGTCAGATCAACCACCTTCACGGCAATCTAATTATTATCTTCAAAGTATTATCCACGTAAATCAACTAAATGATGAAAAGCTCATATGCAACAAAAAATGTATGAACACAAAAAAAGTAATATAATGCATATTAAATGTTTATGTCTTTACCGATGCTCAGTGACATGTATAAAATACTTTTATCTAGATTTTAATATTTATAGCGATTAAAATTCGTACTGCAAATCATCTACTCATTGATTATTAATAATTGTGATTACATTTTTTTCAGTAACTCTACAGAGACGATACGAAATGGCTAGTAAACAATCATTGTTTCGGTAAAGTCATTAAAATCTTTGTTCAGTTTTAGCTTCGTTTTTTTAGTATACTATAGGCTTAAACTGTTAGAAGCAAAATATTATTGGTTCAAACTAGATAGTTCTGAATTAAATTGGCACTTTCAGTAGGTTCAACGACAAAGGCCGGTGAAGGGAACAGGGATAATTGTAGCTATTGGTTCCATAACGAAAAAAGTAAATATAAAGTTGTTGTTTTTTAATTACTTCATCAAAACATCTGATATAAAATGAGGGGCATCGTGGTGGAAATAAAACGTCGTGGTCAATTGGTAGAGTGTTCGACTGCTAACCTGACGGTCTCGAGTTCTTATTCCCGGCTCAAGTGCTTATGACTTCCCCTTAGTCTACCGATCTTCGATGGGTACATGACTCATGTAAGGGAAAGTAAACGCGACTGGGCATATTACTGACCAGCTGACCAGACCATCCTATCACGTGATAAGGTCACTGCAACAGGTGAACTCTAAAAACATTTTTAAAGTAACAAATAAACGTTTAATTTGACTTAATTTTATTAGGCTTTATATAAGTTTAGGCATTATATTTCGTTCATTCTTTGCTTTCTTATAATAATTATTTATATACTAATTTTAGTAAGAATTAATGCAATTCAAAAATGAAATTTCGTTTTCGTTTCTCGTATTAGTAAGAGGTAATATTTAAATGCGTAGAATTTAGAACTAAACAGCCCCTCCTATCAAATGTGTCCCCAAAAGTTGACTTTTTCGAAGTCCCTCACCTGCCCGGTAGGACTTCATAAAATTGGAAAACGATTAGAAATATGTATTACCAATAATTGTAACGATATAAGTTTTTTGACAAAGTAGATCAGTCTTAAGGTGAGTACCGGGTGGTTTGCAGTTTGGGTGTGAGAAGAAGGATTGGGGTGGTCTAGGTGGGAGTGAAGCCGACATAACGTTTCCCTTATAGAAAAGTTGGTCGAATAGTTTACTTTAATATCTTGAGTGTGTATATCAATTCTTGGTAATAAAATCTATTTATAAAAAAACAACATATAAATAAAGCATTTGCTTCACAGGGATCTGAAGATCAAGCAAACAATTCCTACAGAATGTGTTTCGTCTGAAGTAGACATGGATATAGCAAAAGATATTTTCAAATGTTTTCAATCCAACATGGAAACCTTCCCCGACTTTACAGTCATAGTTAGCGACTTTCAGTTTAACTGTCACAGGTTTGTCTTAAGTTCCTGCTCTGGTTTCTTTGAGGCTCTCATGAGGACAGATATGAAAGAAAAAGCTGAATCAATCTGTACCTTAAAGGACATCTCACCAGAAACATTTGGTCTCATACTTGATGTTCTTTATAAGGGAAAAAATGTTTTAAATAAAGAAAACATGCTGGAATTGTGGAAGGCTGCTAATCAACTGCAGATTAACTTGCTAATAACAGCCTGTAAAAAATGTGTTAAGAAAAATATTACGATTGAAAACTGTATAAATGTTTTAAAAACTGCAGAGCTTTTGCAATCGCTAAGTGTTATTGCAAAAGTTAAAAATGTAATGGTGACATCTTACTTTGATTTGGTATACTCTGATAATTTCAAGCAGGTATCTTTAGATGAACTGGTAGAAATTCTTCAGAATGATCAACTAAAAGTATGCCCAGACTTCTGTGTCACTTCTGTTATGATGTGGGCAAGTGCAGAGGACTATTCCCATTTGCCCCCAATTAAGTCTATAGATGAATTTTGTCAAAGAAAGTGGACGCAAAATTCTACTTACAATTATATTAAAGACTCAGGAAGTGCAACTTACCGTAGATCACGCCTAGATAAACTACTCAGTGTTATCCAGCTACAGTGGGCAAGCAAAGAGTGTCTCTCTATGCTTATGAGCAATGAATTTATCATCGGAAACAAGAATGCAATATATTTGGTCAACCGTATTGCTGCAGCGAGACTTGATGGTGTAGATGAAGTAAAACAGCCACACCGTGTAGGTATGAGCTATAAAAAATGTCAACATTGTTCTACAAAACATAATGGATATACGGACGCATTCTATGGATATTCAACATATGAATGCAATGACAGTGAATGGTTGTTAATTAATTAACTTTCATGTAAAATCAGTTTTGTAATGATGAAACAGAAATTTTAAACTTATCAGCATTTTGTAAGCTATCTACAGACGCAAACACAACAATCAGAAAACAAAGCGTCGCATAAACTGTTCAATTAATTTGATTACAGTAGAAAGAAGTATTTAATACACTACATATGTATACTTAGTGTGCTAGTTTTTTTTAAAGCACATTCTTTGCTATTATTGTTGAGATACAATTACGCGAATGAGAGTGTATATTGTTCTTATATCATCCACCCAGATTATGTAAGTTCGTGGAGAAAAGATATCTAAACAAAATGTGTTCTTTTCCACATTAGTATTATCTAGACTTCGACTTCGAGACTTTTAAGTTCATTTAATGTTTTACTAATTTCTGGGTGCTTTTATATGTAGGCTAATGTTATAGTAGAACTGTGTATATTTTGTTATGCAATTTCTTTTATAATGTACAAGTGTGGCTTTTTTCCGCTTGAAGGGATAATGGGGGCTATGGTAACGGGTTCAGTATGAACATGACATTGTAAGGATGGGTCAAAGTCATATGTTAAAATTCACGTTTATTTATTTATTTATTTTGTTGGTACTTTGTGTGTGCGATTCAGTTTACTTTATATAGTAATATTGTGATGGTAATATTTGCAGAAATAAAACGTCATTTTGTGTTGTTTTTTTTCAATTCTAAAACATATCTTTTGGAAAAGTTTGTTTTCATTCTTTATCACAAAAAGTAGAACATATATGTGATTACAAGGAGACGTAAATAGTCAGATGGGCGATACTGTTCTAATAATCTATTTTATGTCTCTATTCCTTAAGGTCAACTCCCCTCTTTATGTTTGGTAATATACTAAGCTACATGAGATATAAATTATATTATACAAAATAAAATAAAACTAATTTAATTTCGTATTTGCCGATTTGATAAATTGTTTTTAGCTCAATGTATTGTTTTTGTGCATGCGTTTATTTTTTGTGCTTTAAAATGTTGAAAGCAAAATACAACTTAAGTGCTGTTTATTGATTTTATTTTGTTTATGATTTTAATCTTACATTTTAAGTGCACAAATGTAGGCTTAGGTAGTAAGCTAGTCTTTTTATATAGGGGAACAATGTTATAAGAAGCTTTTATAGTGATTGCATACAACTTCAAATTAAATGTAGGATTTTTTTTTAGTAAATAGCGCTATACGCGACACTTATGTTGCCTACTACAAGTATAAAATAGTGTGAAATATAAAAATAGTTTAAATGAAATTTGTTCCGAATAGTTAACGTGAATGCTTAATCTTGAATGGTCTTTTCTTTAACAAAAAATGCATGCATTTAAATAGTTTCCAAAAATCATCCAACACTGGACAGCTCGGAGAGGGGCGGAGGCAGTTTGGCTATTAAAAAAGTAGCCTCCCCGAATAAATTATAACAATTGGCTGCTTCCATTAGCCTAGATGGCCGATAGTTAAGAGTAATGGATTTTAAACACAAAAGGCAGGAATTTTTGCCATTAAAATGTTTCACTACCTCAATGGAGATATGGTTCAATGATCTCCCACTGAGGTGTGTGTTTACGGGCTGACCATGAGAGACAACAAAATTAAAGAAACTGCTTGCTTCTGGATCCTTATTTATAGCATACACAGCATTGAATAGAATAGTTCAATTGCAAGTACATAAATAGATAGCCCTAAAATAATGTAAACAAAAAATAGATTGCGCTCTGAATACACAACCGCGTGCAGGATCTAACATAAATAAACGTATGCCGCGGCTTTCCAAAATAGCGTAAAATACAGTAGAAAGCTACGGCCAGTATAACAATATACTGCCAACAAGTATTATAAATTTAATTTACTTTACATATCTAGTCCGCAACCAGCAACGTAGATAGGGGTGGGCGGGTGGGGTGTCAGCCTCGGGTGCCGACTCAATGGGCACCAAAAGGCGTAAAAAATAACAATTAAAAAGCTCATTGTATTAAATTATATATAAAGTTAAAGAAAATAAACAACAACAAGGTTTTACACACTAATTCAACTGTTTTCTACATCAATTGTAAGGCACCACAATAAAAATTTTACGGGATAGTAACTGGTAAGAAGCGCCAAAAACCTTTCCAACATACATATTCAATTACACATATATACTGATTCAGAAATAGATTTAAATAAGTAGCAGTGGTAATATGACACTATTTTTTTACAGAGGGGTCCATGGGGGAGGGAGTTTGTAACTGTTTCATATAATTTGTAATCGTAATCACTATCGCCCAAACTGTCATAATACTACTACTTCATCGTGATGACGTTGTTGATCTTGTCAAAATGTCACCACCAGTTTGCCCATAAGTAAATTTAAATAGAGGTGCCACATCAGTTGTATTTGTGTCTGTATTGTAATTTTTTTTTTAATTAATTACACGATTAAAACTGTACATATAAAGTAATTATGTGTGAAGATTTATGTATAATATTTTCTAGATCATTTATTCTTAATTAAATATATTAAATACATTATACAGTTGCCTTAAACTTAACACCCCTCTTGCCAAGTGGTACTACCCATAGAGGTTTTTAAAAATTGCAATGCATCGTACTGGTTATTTTTAGAATGACAAACTTGATACAGCTGTTAATACGTGTTGTAAACGTAGACGCTACTAGAATAGTACAATTCTGCTTAATTGTTGCATGAAAAGAAATCTTGTGATTTACATAGATGTGCCGAACAAAATCAATTTTTACAAGCTTTTATTTAACTCACTTCCTCGTCAGTCGTCAGTCGTCAGTCTAGACGGAAACGCAGGAGTGAAAATTCGGACAGTTCTACTTGACCGACACGATTCACAGTTGGCACGTGGGTCAAGACATGAAGACAATGCAATCTGAATCTAAATTTGACTTAATTGGATGCCTAATTAATTTTTTATAAATTAATTAAAATTTGGACCGAATTAGTAGGCATGTCTAGCCAACCACACCACACGCGTCATCACCTTCAATAGCTGCGCCATCACGTAATGGCTGCGTTCAAAAACAATTGCGCGCCTACTGAACGTGATGTTCAGTAGGCGCGCAATGGTTTTTAGTCATGTAACTCTATTGTAAATAAAACATGTAAAGTACTGAAAAAAAAATTCATAAAAAACGTTTTAATAACAAGCTTTTATGTAATGATGCACTAAAAAGTAGAAAATAAATTATAGACTACTATTTAAATAACTATAAAGAAAAGCGTGGGTGTCTTCCTTAACATTAGTAAAGGTATCCAATAGATACTAAAGTGACCCACGCTTTTCTTTATAGTTATTTAAATAGTAGTCTATAATTTATTTTCTACTTTTTAGTGCATCATTACATAAAAGCTTGTTATTAAAACGTTTTTTATGAATTTTTTTAACAAAAATCATTGTTAAAAACTTTGAGTTTAAAAAGTGTCCAAAAAGGCGCCACTTTGCTAAAAAATGGCCAGAAGGGGAGCGGCAGCCCTGCTCCCCCCTGCGTACTGCTGTTTAAAGTTAATTTCTTGCCTATATTGATATATTTAGCCATTGATTTATATGTGTTATTCATTTATCTATAATATTTGACACAAATATATCACAATATACATATTAAAGCCTTGAGGATGAGGTAACTGTTTCGTACATTACTACTAGCCGCGGGCGATTTTACGTACCCAATCGATTTTCGCTATCACTATCACCGTTAGGTCGCTTTCAGTATCGAGTAAAATGGCGGCTACTTCTATCAATGAAACATTTAAATCAGGGGTCTCCAAACTTTTCAGCCCGAGGGCCGCATTAACTATCAAATATTAGTTCGGGGGCCAGTGTTTCTTCCCGGCATATATGCGGCCCCCCTCCCCCCCCCCCCCGAAGAAAGCTACAACCCCCAACGGATATATATATATATATATATATATATATATATATATATATATATATATATATATATATATATATATATATATATATATATATATATATATATATATATATATATATATATATATAAATTTCAAGTGCCCCCACCCGAGAAAAAAGTCTGAAAGAAACACTGTCGACAACACACTCGAGGTCCAAGTTTGTTCTCAAATTGTTCTTCACGTAGGCCTACTTCATTTTTGACAAAGTTTGTATGTTGTTCCGAAATTTGAAAGGTACTTTGATGCAAATGTTTTAATATTAGGAAAGTCTTCGTTGGGCAAATACTTATGTAACCCACCCGCCCTTATTTGGACTGGCCACCTTTACTTCAATGGTATTTGCACCTTATTCTACATTTTCCGTTTGTTTTGAATTTTTTCTCAGCCATCTCTAACAAACATTTTTTTTTCCGTTGACAAAAAGATCTCCGAGGGCCGGAAGAGAGGACCTCGCTGGCCGCATACGGCCCGCGGGTTGGATCAACCCAGAACCACCAGCGGAGCTGCGGAGGTCAACCCGTCAACGACGACCCGTCGAGTGACTCAACCTGGCGCATCAAGTGGTGACCAGTACCTGCACTGGAGCCTCTACCGGTTTGCCGGGAATAATCTATTTGAGTTGAAAGGACTTAATGTCTGTGTACTAGTGTACTGAACTTTTTAAAGTACTATTAAGTATGAGTTGTAAATGTAAATTCCATTGTACATTTATTTGTGAGGGGGGCTGTGTAACACATATGGTTACCAGCCAAGGGGGATAACAATATGAAGTTTTTATTCATTGGGTTGCGGCCCCTGTGGGACTGCAACTGAACTGTTGACGTTGTTTTTTTTTATGCTTTTGTGAGCGATGTTACCTGTGTTCCATGTCATGTGACATGGGACTGTGGGTAGTTTCATGCCTAGCCGTGTCGCACACGCAAGGCTGCTGTCTGTGGACATGGTGACCAAGGTGTAGACCTAATGAAGGTAGTTATATAAATTATGTTTGTTAAAATACTTATTTGTGTATTCCTGCTAGTGCTGCATGTGCACACTAGTTAGGGCGAGTATTAATATAAGTATTTATTTGTAGTACTACTTATTGGTACTTGTTGGCAGTACTGTGTACTGGCCAAAACATATTTTATTATACCCGTGTATATTGTAGCCTACACATGGTGTTGTCAGGAATGTAACTTTTTTTATTTACATTTGTTTTAGGGCTACAGCTTTTGGTTTTTGGATTGTTTGGATTTTTTGGATCTTTTGGTTTTGGTTTAAAGCAAGCTGAGTTTAGCTATCAAGACTTAAACCCCATTTTTATTGATCTATGTTGGTATTTATCAAACTTGTGCTTAAACAGTTAGATTTTAAAGTGTATACTGTACCTTAGTTCAAATATGTGTTTCTTTTATTACTAGTCATATCCAACACAACATTTTACTAAATTACTACATATAGCTAAGGTGGATATTAGGTCTTTATGCACATTTACATATGCATTGTGTACTGTTAATTTAAACAAAAAAAACATAATGAAAACAAAAGTATTTCTGCTTTTCCTTACTAATTTTTTTCATATTGCTGATACTGGAATAGTGTAATTTTTCAACTAACTTGATGCACATTTTAATGAGGATTTAAGCCTTCAGTTTTAAAAATTATATTAAAAATGTGTATAGAAAATCAAGTTAGTCTGCAGTGTTACCGATATTATTAGAAGTATTTTTATTAAGAATTATTAATAAAACTTATTATTCATTTATATATATTTACAATTTTTTTTATAAAATGTCACATGAAATTTGAAAAACATTATAGTTCTCCATTAATAATCATTTTTCATTATCGAAACTGTGTATTGTATTTAAAGTTGTCAACTAATAAGCTGTATTATGAATAATATCATCATATTGTTTATCAATATTTTTCCCTGTTTGTTTTTTTAGTTATTGTTAATTTCTTAAATAAATATTGACAAGTTTTTTGTCACAGCAATAAAATGTGATAATTTTTAGATTCTTTTTGAGTTGTTGTGTGTTGCAATCAATTTCTATTTCACCATTATGCATGTGACATGCTTTTAGCTGTGTTGTTAAATGAACCAACAATTTTCACAATACTAAGATTAAATAACTTGGGCAAGGACAAACTTACAAATGAGTTAACTCCATTGCTCAGTCAGGATAAAACAGGCTGTTTGTAAATCGGACCTCACTGGGTGACCCCAGTTAGGGGAGTGACACCAAGAAAAAATAGGGCAAAATGCATACAGAAAAATGATAATTTCACTTACATAATAATTAGAGTAAGTTAAATAGTCTTTCAAGCAAAAAGTTGATCAATCCCGACAAGGGCGGAGAGGGGGTGGGGAGGGTGACACAATGACATAAACATGCTAATGATAGAAAAAACATGCTACATCCAGCTGAATTTATAACCGACTATAGATAAAAATTGTTAGTGTTATCTGAGCACAGATTGTGCACTTCTTGTGCAGTTGGGCTATAGAAGTTTTTGGCAAAACCATTTTTTTGAGAAAACGACTCACTACTGCAGAACATCCATAAGTCAATTATTTTTATAAATTTTATTTTACTTGTAATTGATAAAAAATAGTAAAACAAGTGTTTAAAATGTCAAATGTTTCCTTTGTAACTGGAGTCCTAACAAGCACAAGTTATCTGACACTAACCTTACCTAACTTGCAGGTACAGGGTTTGGAGCATCACAAGAGAGTAAAATACACCCCAGCATTCAAAACAGATTGGCCTCCTTGGAATTTACATACAGAAAGTGTTGTTAGAAAAACAATAATAATAAAATTTGACACTCACTTTAGCCATTTTATTTCTTAAAATTTTCACGTTACAATTTCTAATAATTCACTACATTAGAATTTACATTACAAGGCTATTTTTTTAATAGTAAGCAATATAAAATTAAATAACAACTAGTCAAAAATTACATTATGTTAAAACTAAGATACCAAAATGTAACGATTGCAGCTTAAGTCTTTCTTTTCTTCAAGTTCTTAATTTTTGCTGTTTTTGTAAAAATTTAAATGTTAATTTACGACATTAAAATGTGCGGTTAATCTTTAAATTGTATAGCCTAAATGAATATGTGAAGAAAATTATTTTATACTCTTTTCAATCACATAGCATGCAAAGAGGAGTCTGAGATTTGGCATAAAGTTCATATTGAGAAGGTGTGAAGAAAGATAAAATTACATATAACAGGTTACAATTGCATTTAAATAAAATTTAAAAAAAAACAACATTTAGCAAAAGTAAGGAAGTGAACATAATCCTTGCAATGGTTGGAGCAACATGAAGCTGGGGGTTAGTTCCATAAGACATGTAAATAGTGGGGAGGGAGAGGAAGTTTTAACATATAGTCTGTTTGAGTTATACATTGCATCCAGTTGAGTTTGGTCATAGGATTTGTGATTCTATACCTCTAAATATAATGATTAAGGACATTTAGCGAAGGATGAAAAAGTTTTTACAAAAATATTTTGTCTGCTCAGAAGTTTTGATGTCACTGTACCTGTTGGCCAGATGCCACTGTGACTGCTGGCCTGATGTCATTGTACTTGTCTAATGGAGGTTGTTTTACCTGTCAACCTGATATTTTGTCATGTTGCTGAATGGCTGACTGAGCTGTTTGTAAGTCGTGTAAATGAGAATTGTTTAACAGTAGGGCCTACATATATTGTAAACATCTAGTAAATGTAAATAATACATTGAACTTGAACAGCGTGTTTTGTTTTAGTTAGCTTCTGTTATTGTTAATGTGTAATTGGTTTCATCAGGTTTGGCTAACTTCCTTATCCCAATGAATGTGCATTGTCAATTTTATATAATCTGAAACAGGCAAATTAACTGTGTTGCCTGAACAAGACCATGCCGGTATAAAAATAAAATCCTGGCTCCCTAAAGTTATAGCTTACTTCTCCTATCATACATATTTACAAATAACACAGAAAGAAGCCGAATACATAAAGAAAAAAATGTACACATGCAGCTGACAATAGGATGCTATTTCCTTTTACAGTCAGAATACAATTTCTTTTTAGAGTATGTATAATAATTGACGAGGTATACTCTTTGACAAAAGAACCTTTTTATAACATAAATATTTATTAACTATGGGCCACTATTGGAAGTTATGTGCAGAGAAAAATTATAAGAAATTTAATAATAATTGTAACACATATGGTTACCAGCCAAGGGGGATAAAAATATGAAGTTTTTATTCATTGGGTTGCGGCCCCTGTGGGACTGCAACTGAACTGTTGACGCTGTTTTTTTATGCTTTTGTGAGCGATGTTACCTGTGTTCCATGTCATGTGACATGGGACTGTGGGTAGTTTCATGCCCAGCCGTGTCGCACACGCAAGGCTGCTGTCTGTGGACATGGTGACCAAGGTATAGACCTAATGAAGGTAGTTATATAAATTATGTTTGTTAAAGTACTTATTTGTGTATTCCTGCTAGTGCTGCATGTGCACACTAGTTATTTGTAGTACTACTTATTGGTACTTGTTGGCAGCACTGTGTACTGGCCAAAACATATTTTATTATACCCGTGTATATTGTAGCCTACACATGGTGTTGTCAGGAATGTAACTTTTTTTATTTACATTTGTTTTAGGGCTACAGCTTTTGGTTTTTGGATTGTTTGGATTTTTTGGATCTTTCTTCTTGGCTAGTTTGTTTTGTACTACTGTGTTGCATCGCCGTCATGGCTCGATGCTGTAAATAAAGCGAGTACTTGACAACAACTGTCGGTGTCAGTGTGTACTTAATCTCAGGGTCAGCCCGTCTTAACCACAATACCTCAGTGGGTAAAAGCATCCCCCCTGAGTGAGGGTTACAATAATAATAATAAAAAATGACTTTAAATTGGTTTTAAGTCATGATGAATTTCTTTGACTATATAAAGTAAATTTAAAAGAAAACATTTCCTTACCAACATCACATTCCTCTGTCTTACATATAGAATGAATTTTTTAAGAGTATTTAAATTTGAGAAAATCATTTGTGTAAAACATCATTTAGACTACAACTTCTAGAAAACCTTTAATGACATATACCACTTTCATATAGCTTGCCTCATGAATGAACGTTTTCATGTGCACTTAATTAAAAACGTTGAGAAAACCATTTACGGCCAAAAAAAGTTTTTTATGTGTATTTAAACTATTCTGAGTAAATCATTTATGAATCTTTTTATGTTTACCTAAGTTAGAACTTCGAGTAAACCTTTTATGACAAACATCACATTCATATGGCTTATCTCCAGAATGAACATATTTGTGATAACTTAAACCAGAACTTTGAGAAAACCTTTTATGACAAACATCACATTCATGTGGCTTATCTCCAGAATGAACATTTTTATGTCTTTTTAAATCAGAATTTTTAGAAAACCTTTTATGACAAACATCACATTCATGTGCCTTTTCTCCTGAATGAACTTTTGTATGTTCTTTTAAATTACAATTTTGAGAAAATCTTCTATGACAAACATCACATTCAAATGGCTTATCTCCAGGATGAACATTTTTGTGTCGTAATAGATGTGTCTTCCGACCAAACTTTTTATGACAAACATCACATTCATATGGCTTATCTCCAGAATGAACATTTTTATGTATTTTTAATTCACAATTTCTAGAAAACCTTTTATGACAAACATCACATTCATGTGGTTTATCTCCTGAATGAGTCCTTTTATGTGCCCTTAACTGAGAACTAGAAAATCTTTTATGACAAACATCACATTCATGTGGCCTTTCTCCTGAATGAACCATTTTATGTTCTCTTAAATGAAAACCATGAGAAAACCTTTTATGACAAACATCACATTCATGTGGTTTATGTGCAGAATGAATAATTTTATGTTGTAATAGATCTTTCTTCTCCACAAAGATTTTATGACAAACACCACATTCATGTGGCCTTACTCCTGAATGAATCTTTTTATGTTTACCTAAGGTACAACTTCGAGTAAATCTTTTATGACAAACATCACATTCATGTGGTTTATCTCCTGAATGAACTTTTTTATGTTTTCTTAAATTAGAACTTATAGAAAACCTTTTATAACAAACATCACATTCATGTGGCCTTTCTCCTGAATGAACTTTTTTATGTACTCTTAAATGAGAACTTTGAGAAAACCTTTTAAGACAGACCTCACACTTATATGGCTTATCTTCAGAATGAACATTTTTATGCATATTACTTTTAGAACTTTGAGAAAATGTTTGATGATAGTAAACAATTTTATTTCCGTTGTCCCCAGACAATTGTAGATTTTCTTCAAGTCCATTTTCTTGTTTATTCTCAAAAAGTGAAAATTCTGTTGTGAAATCTTGTTTTAAATTTTCAGTAGGTGATAATTCTGGTTTTAAATTTTCAGATGTTGAAAATACTGCTGATGCAGCTGGTTTCTTATTATTATTTTCAATTGAACATATAATTTCAGGTTTTACATCTTGAGAAGTATTAAAAAACATGTTAGGTTTTATATCCTGAACATTAAAAAATGATAATTCTGGTTTTATGTCATTAGAAGAAGAAAATTCTGAATTAACATCAGGTTTAACATCTTGAGAAGTTTTAAATGACATGTTAGGTTTTATATCCTGGAAATTAATAAATGTCAATATTTCTGTTTTGATGTCAGCAGAAGAAGAAAAGTCTGGTGTAACATCAGGTTTAACATCTTGAGTGGTATTAAATGTCATGTCAGGTTTTATATTCTGAGAATTGTAAAATGACAATAATTCTGTTTTGATGCCAGCAGAAGATGAAAATATGGCCGATAGATCTGGTTTCAAATCTTCAGAAGATGAAATCTCTGTTAATTCATTTGACTGTATATCTACAGTAGATGAAACTGCAGCTAACACATCTGTTTCCACCTCCATGCTGGACAGCTTCTTAGATATGAACTGATGATTAAAAAAGGTTAATGTTAAACTGGTGATTAAATAACCAAAACAACTTATTACTAATAACATGGCAAAATTTGTAACACATGCCAGACTTGTCTGATTACAAATGATTACTTAGTCAGATGTAATTTTAAAATAGACAACCAGTAATGCAAAGCCATCAGGACTGCAGATTAATATCTTAAGCTACCAGTTTCTTAAAATTATTTTAAAAAATAGGAATACTGGGATATTAATAATAACAAAAATTAAAACTTGATTTGCTTTTGTTAGTTTCTAAATGTAAGTAATAAGGGCTTATCTTATCCAAATATGTATTAAAAGTTTGAAAATAAAAATTTTTTTAGTTTTGTAAGTTCTTGTTCTCTCTCACTTAAATTCAAGTCCTGTTAGCCAGGGAGAGTTGAAAAAATTTGAACTAAATCAATTGTTGTGAACGGGATTACTGTTGCTCTAATCAACTGGCTTAGCTTTTTTAAACTACGGAAAGAACACAACACTAATGGTGTCATCTTCCAGTTTTAGAATATAAAGAAATGGACTATTTCATTCAAATTGGATTTAGATCTAGATTCTATTTAGGTGTCATCCATAAATGACGTCACGCTTTTTTTGCCGATGTTTACCTCCCCCCCTCCCCTCTGTCACACGTTGTCACAAAAAGCCAGACCCCCCCCCCCCTAAAATCGCGTCACACCTCAACCTACAACCCCTCAAAATTGCAGTTGAATTTTTTTAAAACATCGATATTTTTCCAAAATCTTGTCTAAACTATTACAATTTATTAAAACAGTTATCTAAAACGTGAAATAACGTCTAAAATTCATTTTCTAACATTGCTTTTTTATAATGCAAAAATGTGACGTCGCAACATCTGGACCCCCCTCCCACATCGTCACAAAATTACGGACCCCACCTCCCCCCTATGAGTGTGACATAGGGGCGAGGGGGTCAAAGACCTACACTATGAATTGTATACTAATAGAGAGGTTGCACACTTGTTTACATCCGCCACCATGTTGAAGCCCTAGCCTAGCACTGGTCTTCTCTATGTATTTTATTGTGCTAGTCCTAAGTTTATTTTAAAAACTTGCAACCAGCAGAACAGCAACAATATTTGAAGAAACTTTAATTATTCAGGAACCTTTTTTTTTTGCTCTTTGTCCAGCTGATAGACAATATGAATGTAATAAATAACTGACCAAAATGTAAACATCTATCGGAATCTATCCAATCCAAAGTGAAAGCCAGAACTCCAGAGAGTCAGACTCAAGAATACCCAAGATTCTAGAATTTAGATTTAGACAAACATTTAGTTGTATGATAGATCATTTTAAATACACAAAAAAGCACTTAACTTGACTTTACAGATGATTATTTATGAAGACATTAGATGCCTAGGGCTAGCAGTTGTGGCCAAAGTAAGATCATTCTTTATTACTTAGATCTAGTAGTTAGTATATTTAATTTCTTATATTATATTCTAGTGCCCAGTACTAGATCTACACTTGTAAGCTGTAACACTGTTAGGATTAGGGATAGGGTTAGTGTCTTACTAAATACTAACTGTTGGAAGTGGTATGTAATTAATAATTAACTAGCTAAGAGAAGAGTTATGATGACTATTATTATTATTTATTAATATTAGATTATTAGGCCCTATTATTATGAGATCTTCTCATCTATTTTTCTCAGCCATCGGCATAATTTTACCCCACTACGTCAGTGTGTTTTTATTGATTGTAGGAAAAAAAGTCACAGGAAAAAAAAACACAGGAAAAAAAAACACAGAAAAAAAGTCACAGGAAAAAAAGTCACAGGAAAAAAAGTCACAAATATATATTTGCATGGAATTTGTTAATACTTGTATGTATTAAATATTCAGAGAGTGCAAATTAACTTAGGATTAATTAAATGTAATGTAATGTGTGTAGGCTGTATACGCATAGTAATTTTTATAATTCACCTAAAAATATTTAGTATGAATTATGTAGATTGTAATTATGTTAAACATAATATTTATAGCATTTAATAGAATGTCCACGGTTTTCATCGTGTTTTTTTTAAGATTAAATTACCGTGAAATGGTAAGGTCATCTGAATTACTGCCCTCAACTCAGCGCAACAATAGTTATGCTTAGTTCAACCACCTTTACTGCCCACATTTATCACGATCATTACATAACAAAACTTAGGATCAAAACAGAGAGCCGACAAGGTTCAAAGGCTGTCAACAACACAAAATATGTTTGGACAATGCCTACTGAGGGGAGGCCGAGCAGAGAATAGCCTACGGCGAAACATATGCAAAACACAATGATGTGACTAAATTTCTTTTATAGTTAACTTTTCTACTGCGTATTTAATGAACTAAATACGTAACAAAAGTTGAGATTGTTGTGTAAATTATCTTAGAGTATTTTTACTTAAAATTTTTATAAACCATAATGCTTTTAACGTCTATAAATAATTCATGCTATTAAAAAATACAACCCACAACAATAAACATACAACATTTTACAATTCTTAACAAATAAATCAAAATATTTCTAAAAAGATTTTTGTGACTTTTTTTCTGTGACTTTATTTCTGTGACTTTTTTTCCGCTAAAATTTTTCCATTGTGACTTTTTTTCCTAGCAAAAACTGTGACTTTTTTTCTGTGTTTTTTTTTCCTGTGACTTTTTTTCCGTTTACCGTTTTTATTAGCCTATTACTCAATCAATCAATCCGTCAAAACCCTTCACCTTTACCGGAATCGGCGTTTAGATTATAAAATGTCGTCCTAGATCTAGATCTAGGAGGTTTTTAATTTGGTCATCTGTACGGGCAATGGTTTGTTTCGACCGTTGATTTATTATACAATTCTATTTTTATATCAAAGTGAAGATGTTATAATATTATGTACAAAAAAAAAAGTCAATTATATACGCACTTGCTTTAGTTTATTTTGACTTCAAGCACAAGCTATTATAAGAGTGATATTCCCTCGTCTGTCTCGTGAAAGACAACGAAAGAAATCAGAATTATTCGCCGGGTAAATACATGGGCAGTTTCGATACAAATCTATCCGACTACGATACGATCCTTATTTATAAGTATCATGTACTTCATGAGAAAGAAATGATTCGATATTTTATATGTCCGCTCAAAACACGGTGGCCACAAAACCGCGAGACCGAGACTTCACGAATCAAAAAGCCTATCTAAGGCTAGCCTAAAGTAGATCTAGATAACTAGATCTAGATCTATAAATGTTTGTAAAAAAAAAGTTTGATCTTTCTGCATAATCTGAAATGACCAGAAATGAGTCCCAATCTCTACTTAACTACTTAGTACTTACCTCAAACTTAACTAACTACTAGATTCTAGATCTAGATTCTTAGATTCAAACTACTTTACTTTATTAGTTATTAGTATTAGTAGGCTACTAGACTAGATCTAGAATCTATCTAAATCTCTAGATTTCTAGATCTAGAGTCTACTAATAAATTATAATTCTAGAATCTAGATCTATCTAGTTCTAGAAAATCTAGATTCTAGGGCAATATCTAGAATCTAATGCTAGGGAGGCCTACTGGTAATCTATAGTTTTAGGTACGTAAAATCGCCCGCGACTAGTAATTTGAAAAACAGGTGACTACTTATTACTTAAATTTTAATAGTTCTTTCAGATTTTGAGGAGGATTTATGTTTTAAAAAAATACAAAAATGTTTTCTTGTTTCATTTATGTATCTGTTTTTAAACAATTGAATCAAAACTGTTCAGTATTAAATGAAAACTAGCGATGTTTTTTTTTCTTTTCATATAAAATTCAATTTCAATATATTCGATGACGGTAAAAAAACATACACATGTTTCGCACAAAGCATAATATAGTATTTTAGCCAGCTCTACTAGGATAATAAAATAAAATAATATAACAAGCCCTATAGCACTATCCTTACCCAATTTAGAAGCTATAAATAACTAAAAAACCATGTCGCTCACGTCAACTTTAAGTAGTATGGATGTCTATCATTCAGTAGTCATGTTTATTGTTTAATTTGAAATTTGGGTAAATTCTAGATTTAGATCTAGATCTAGTAAGAAAAGCTGGTAATCTATCGTTTTGGGTACGTAAAATCGCCCGCGATTTGTAATGTGAAAAACAGGTGACTCCTTAAATTTTAATAATTATTTCACATTTTGAGGAGGATTTATGTTTTAAAAAATTAAAAAATGTTTCCTTGATTCATTTATGTACCTGTTTTTAAACAATTGAATTAAAATGGCTGCTGTTTATACAGCAAATCTTGCTCTCAGACACTGCTGTTTAAAGTTAATTTCTGGCCTATATCGATATATTTAGCCATTGATTTAGGTTTATTAGGCCTATTCATTTATCTATAATATTTGACACAAAATATAATTCTATTAAAGCCTTGACAATGAGGTAACGTTTTCGTACATAAATAGCCGCGGGCGATTTTACGTACTAAAAACGATAGATTACCAAAAAGCTATAATATTTAACAACAAGATTTTCTTCAGTGCTAGACAGTCTAAATTTTACAATAGTTGGGCTCCATTACTGCTTAGATAAGTTACTTTTTAAAGTTACTATTAGTAACATTTTTCCCGAATATTTTAAATACTAGTAAAGGTTATTTTATTCAGAAGGTATTTTTATATGTGTCAGTGTACTAATATTTAATCCATTAGGGACTAATTTTGAAGTTTTTAGTTCGTTTTAAACTAAATTACTTAATTTAATATTTATTGACACTCACTGCCATGGACAACATATCCCTCCATGACAACTCTTCTTACCCCTGAAGGCACTTGAAGCTAAAGAGAACCACAAATGCGGTTAGACTTTTTAAGTGGCCATGTACCCAGAGTTCCCCACTAGTGATCATCAAATAGCGGTCACGTGGTCAAAAAATTTTTAAAAATTTGGTTGTCATTTTTTTGGCCACTCTTATTAAAAAAAGGGTTGACTATATTTGATTTATTTTTTCATAGACTGATAAAACTAATAATGCTTTAGTAGGGAAATCAATTTTGTAATAGGGAAATCTATATTTAAAAAGTTCTAGTATTTTTGATGAAACCAACTTTTAAATTTAGCCTTCATTCTCCAACGCAAATTTTAAAATGCTTTTCTGGCATATATAGCCCTGCCACCTATAGCTTGTTGTTATAACGTGAAAGTCCCGCCATTTTGCGCGTGGTAAACATTTTAAAAACTAATTAGTAGAAGGTCTCTGGAATTTGGCCGAAAAATCGTCGGAAGTCAAGCGTCCGGTCCGGGCGCCATATTGTTGTTAGCAACCGGCCACGCCTCCGGGTTAGCGAGAAATTGATAAATATCATTGTTTGTGTTTCCCTGCAAGGACTATAAAAATATTTCTCAATCAGACTTTTATTAGAAGAACCTTAGTTGTCAGTAACATTTTCTGTCATTTCTAATATTGCAAGAACTTTACATTTTTAATTTAAAATAATTAAAGAGTATAAAATATTTCTCTTTCAGCCCTAAATGTTTGGTCAAGTGGATACATCAAGAAAATGACAGAGCAAGTATGTCACTGTGACATTTGTTTAAGAAAATTTTCATCTTTTGAAAGATTACGAAAACATTGGAATAAAAAGCACACAGAAGTGCAAGCCATAAGCTGTTGTTTTTGTGATTTTATAGTTAAAGAGGAGCCGTTGTTTGCTATACATAAAAAAGAATTTCATCCAAAGGATAGGATGGCATGTGAGTTTTGTGGTTATACCACCGGAAAATGGAGTAAGCTGAAAAAACATCACATAAAAGTTCATGTGGCTCTATCAAAAGAAAACATTGTTTCTGATTTACTAAAGGACAATTTCAGAGAGGAAACCTTGATATCTTCATGTAAATACCCACCAGATTACAGATCCACTTCTTCAAATTGTGGAAATGTAGAAGTCAAGTGCTCAATACTGAAGGAGAAAGAAAATGTATCATTAACTAATGAAAAGTTAGCTGAGTTGTACCCCAATATGTTCAAAACATGTGAAAAGTTGCAGATAAATCATGAAAATAAAACAACTGAACCTCAAAAGTTACAAAATTTAACTGGGCAAAAATGTGAATGTGCTCTGGAGAATTGTACAACTTGTCAACTATACCATAAAGATAAACAGAGAGGCAGTGATCCTCCAACTGAGATTTCTGTGTGTGACATTTGCCAAAAAAGTTTTAAATCCTTACCTCATTTGGCTTCTCATAAAATTGTACACACTCCATTGAAATGTTACATATGTTGCCACTGTGATAAAAGTTTTAACATTGGAGATGAATATGATCTACACTTAACAACACATTTTAGGTATAAACCATTTAAATGTGAATTTTGTGAAAAATGTTATGCAAATAAACATTATCTTAAAGTTCATAATAGATTGCATACTGGAGAATCAATTCACACATGTGAGAAATGCAGTTACACTACGCCTCATCTGTCTCGGCTAAAAGAACATCAAAAGATTCATCTAAATGTTCAATCAGTTGTTGGTGTTGAAAATGTACAAACTTGTGATAATTGCCAGAAAAGCTTTCTTTCTTTAGCTCACCTGTTGTCCCATCAACTGATACATACACCTTTGAAGCTTTACATATGTAGTCATTGTGACAGAGGCTTTAACTTACCAGAAGAATATGATCTGCACCTTGTAAAGAGACATTTCATGTACAGACCTTTCAGATGTTCATTGTGTGAGAAATCTTTTACCAGCAAAAAACATTTAAAAGTTCACATGAGCATACACACTAGGGATTTACTGTATAAGTGTTCAAATTGTGACTACACAACAAACGATAAAAGTCCTTTCTTAGAACATAGGAGAGTTCACATGAACAGTAAGCCTTTCACTTGCAATGCTTGTGACTATTCAACAGCTTCTAGAAGTTCTCTAAGATATCATTTAAGGACTCACTCGGGTGAGAAGCCATTTTGTTGCAACCTATGTGATAAAAGATTTAATAGACATTTCCATTTACTCTCCCACAAACGACTTATTCATCTAGTGTAATGATTCCACTGAAAACACACTATGCATAGGATAAAACTGCTGTCACTTTAATTTTTTTTTATACTGACATTAATGATTAATGACATTGGTAGTAAAAATACTGGTGATTTTTTTTTGCATGCCACCAATTCTGTTTATACCCAATCACAATTAGATGCTAATGGGGGGGGGGGGGGGGTAAAGTGTTAAAGCTGCTCAAGTTACAGCTATTTCCAACAGTGGGCTTGTGTCTCTTTCAATGTCATCGTGCCACAAAATTGTTTTTTAACTTTCAAAAGTTTTTTGTAAAAGCTTGTCATATAGTGAGTAGCCTAATGTATTTTGTTATGTATTTGAAGTCAGTGTTATCTTCTTTCTATTTGAAGCTTACCTGAAGTTTTGGTAACTGTATTTTCTTATATAACTTGTAATTTTTTTATGTAAGCACCTTTGAAGTTAATATTATTTCTGAAAATAAACTATAGATAGTATAAAGAGCAACAATTTAATTTTTTTGTTATCAGTATTAGCATAATCTGCTTGTCACATATAAAGAAATGTATTGTGTTACTTATTGGAAGTCTGTGTTACCTTCTTTCTATTTGAAGCTTATCTGAAGTTTTGGTAACTGTATTTTCTTATAATATATAACTAGTAATTTGATTTATGTAAACACCTTTAGTAGTGACAGTTAAGCTGTTTAGGCTTATATGTTCTTTTCTTTATCATATGATAAAGCTTTTCTATTTGTTATGATACACATTGAAATTTATTAGACACATAAGAAAATAAACTTGTCAATCAACAGTTGTTATGAAATATCTGCAGTTATGTAACACCTCGTTGATCTCTGTTGAGGATTAATTTAAACCTATAACCAGACAAATGATGTTGAAAAATTACACACTTGAACACTTGATTCTTAATGCCGTCCCATCAACCTGTGCAACTTTATATTTAGTTATTGTAAGAGATTTTAACTTAGCTGATGATTAAGATATTTAATACACTTAGCATAAACACATTAAAAGCAAAAACCTTTAAAATATACATTATGCAAAAAATGTTTTACTTGGAAAGATACTCTAAGACTTCACACAAGCACACACACCAGGAATATACTTATAATATAAGTGTTGAAAATGTCAATACACAATAAAAAAAAAAAATTAGCATTCTATGTCCATCAGTGAATTCACCAGAACACAAAATCACACATGCAGTTCTTGTCACTATTTCTGAAAGTCCTGTACAAAATAATTTAGCGACACTCTTAGTGAAAAGCCATTTTATTGCTACCTATGTGATAAGCTATATATCCAGTGACAAGCCTTAATCTACCACATGCTAGATGTTCATTTAATCACATGAACCTGGATTAAGACTACCAGATTTATCTATGTATCTTAGTATTTATAAAAAAAAATACAGCATTTTGACAATAGTGACAGTATGATTTTGAATGGATAACATAACCGATGACTATTGTGTTTGCCTTTTTTAAACTTTTTATATACAACTGTATTGTTTATTTAATAAATACATGTAACTACTATGGGAATTTGCTCTTCACTCTATGTATGCTGGTATTTGACTGTATTCATTATTTTTACATAAGCAGAAGAAAAACCATGATAAAAATAAACAATTCTGCTTTTTCTTTTACTTTTTAGAAACATTGCAGAGATTATGTTTGAACAAATAACTTAGTGTTTTAACACTATCTTTATCGAATTCTCTTTGTTTTTATAGAGCTAATAATTACACAATGATTAAAAAAAAAATTAAATGAACATTATATTTGGTTTCAAATAGTCAATTAATAAGTTACATTCTGTTTGATCTGAAATATAAGCCTATTTCTGTTTCTTTTTATTTACCTGTTGTATTCTTTAAAATTGTTCATTATGTTTATAAATTTTGAAATAATTTTTTGAGAAACATTTGTAGTTGTGTTGGTGTTAAGATTATATTTTTCATGTTGTATGTGGCCAGCTGTTAACTCTTTTGTTAAATAAACCAGCAGTTTTAAAAAAAATAAGTCTCGAGTTTGAATGCAGGTTAAATTAAAGTCAGTGTAACGTTCCTGAGTCCACCCAGCTCTGATGTGTGCCTAACTCATAATATTATGGAAAGCAAAGGCTGCTGAGCATAGTGCTGA